CCTACTATATTCAGTTCTCCTAATTATAAATGAAATAAAGGTTTTTTATGTTAAAACCACAACATATATAAAGATATTATAACAACATCCAATCCAAATGAAATTCGATGATCATACTGAATAGTAAGATGTCTCAACATGAACATATAGAACAGTTTAAAAAGAAACCACTATACATTCTTCGTTGTATGATTTCTTACAATTACAATTCTCGACTTCAAAATAAATATTTTGGGTAAATGCATGACCGCACATTAACCTTGTCAACGCCGGGTGAAAATTGATTACGAATAGGAAACTTCGTCAACATTCCTCACCGATTTTCAAGTCAAAACTCAATTTTGATGGATTACTGAAACCTTAAACGTACACTTTTTGCACATTAAATACTTTTTTGTGAGAAATATTATAAGATACCTTTATTTACAGACTACAGTAGGAGTCTCTAAAGCGTTTCGTATGAACCATTTAAGTTACACCAAAATGTTCTGTTTGAAATGATCTGATATATAAATCTGATGTATCGTAAAATATGAACGTTGAATAACAAAAATGTATATAACATGAGAATAAATTAGTTTTATGGACGAGTAGTGGCTTTTCAGAGGCATCAAAGGGCGAATTCTTATTTACATTATTTTATCCATCGTCAAATGAACAAGAGCGATGAAATTTACAAACAGGAGCAAGAAATATTTTTAAAAAAATTGCATGTAAACAAACGGAATCATCTTCCATTACTTCCATATTATATGTACGCCTTTTTGTGCTGCTTACTCACGCGTTCGGAGGTGATAAAATGATTTATCTACACATGTGTATTACGGATAAAATGTTTTAGCAAGAGTTGCGTGGTATACAATACGGTTCATTACAAAATATTACTCTCAGAAAGGAATAAACATACCGCAATAAATATACCTGAAGCGCTTAGGCTAATAACATGCAAAGCCCCAGCAAGCATTCGGCTAATCGTAAATTTTAGTATCTAGATTTTGTTAAAATTTGTCTCGACGTTTTACTACCACAAGCTGTTCATAAATATAACAAATAAGATATTACACTTTCAACAAAATCGAAAGATTAACATTTATGAATAACGAGAGTCATGATGCGGCTTATACTGTTCCAAAGCCCGTAACATCAAAATTGAATTTTGAATTTTAACATCAAAATTGAATAATAATTTAAATTTACTGATTGTTTTGGTGAACATGAATATTTTACAACTTATACACATGAATTTAATATTTCTAACAAGCAAAATATAACGTTTCATATTGAAACGTTACTTTCCAAAATACGCCGAGAAATCTTCGCTTCCATTGCCTTTTTCTTTCTGCACTCCTTAAAAATCTCATATCCGTAATCGTAACTTTCTTGAAATTTAGTAGGCAGTAAGCACAAAAGAGCCTCAGCGTCTTCGGTTCTAATAACTCAAAAACTTCTTCCATTACCACCATTGCCCTTCTGCGGTGAAATATGCTCACGAGCGACTGGACAGACAATTCTTAATTACTGTCGATGTCAGTTTCAATCTCTTTAACATACTGCCTAGTCTACTGCTAGAAAAAGTGTTAAAATCGGATAAGATAAAATGTAGTATACAACACGAGATTAAAAGTCTATAATAGACTCTTTGGTAGTAGTGATGTACTCCCGCTACGGCGCTCGGGTATGGACAACTGACGCATAATTGTCTCTTTTAGCCACTTGGAAAATAAATAAATGTAGGTCGCGAACCATTTTCTAAAATGTGCGTCATCATATTCCATACACTTAAAAGTAAAAGTAAGTAATAGTTAGTAGTAGTTAAGTAGTAGTAGTAAATAGTAGAAGTAATAAATTAGTAGGAAATCAAACCTGTAAAGAGCGGCACTCAATGATCTTCTTCTACTACCGTTTCTACCCCTAAGAGTTCGCCGTTTTCGATTTCCGTATTTCTCCATCAACTGTTTCTGTATTTCTCGGTTTCGCCTTGACCTTATTCCATTCTCCTCCTATTACATGCCACATACAGGTCCTCTAGGTCAAAGCAGACTGTTCTACGTCTCGTTTCGTAGATCCAATTTTAAATTTGTTTTGGCCATTTCTCATTCTGCTTTCGTTGGATCACTGAAGAGACTTATGTTTATTCTTCTGGTTATAGTTGTTTCAACAATGACATTAGATCAGTGTTACACCTCCTGCCTTATAAAATTAATCCTTCTAACTATGGTAAGCACAATTGTTAGGCCACAAAGCCCCAATGAGAAGGACGTTCACGAAATAATTAAAGAGATTTATTTTATAAGGCGGAAGTGTAACAATGACCTAATGTCATCGGCCACTACAGAAAAACCGAAGCATAAACATTCCTCCACGAATGCTTATTATAGACTTTGTCTTTTGTTTTTCATTTGATTTTAAAGTTCCGTTTTTTTTGTGTATCTTCTCAACGGTCTCTCTCTACGATTTCTGTTGATAAATTCGAATTAATTTTAAATAATCACAAATAAAGCATCGCTTCTCATTTTAATCGATTTTAAAGGCGAACGGGGTGCCTGCCGCTCCGAAGCACAAGGAAGAGGATGTGAATGACCACTGGGAACGCGGATGCGATTAGCGCCCTAGGCTCATTGGCAGCACCCGGAAGCCACAAGGCCCACGCCGAGAGGAAGGCATTGCTCCATACTCGCCGCAAACCACACATACAAACACACTTCACGGGCTATTAAATGACGGCCTTCACACTGCTCAATGTTTGCGACACTCCAACTGCGTGCGTAGACAAAAGAATAATACAGTATGGAGGATGCGTTTTGTGCGACGTTGTCAATAGGTCTCTGTGCAGTGTAGTTTGTTTCGAAGGTTGGCCTTTAAATCAGTGGTTTCTTTGAGATATGCCTTGTGCTCGACAAAATTGTTATTATTACTATTTTTATTATTTATTGTTTTTATATATAAAAAAGGTTTAATCTATATTGTCGATCTCTCGTATTAGGTCACATTCCTCGATTTATTGCATGCCAATCCCAACATTAATATTTTTTTCATTCTCCCACTTCTTCTTCTTCTTTAGTTTCTGTTCTTCGTGCTTAACAAATTTGTGTGGCGAATAAAAGCTTCGTATTATTTTGGCCTATTACAAACTAGATTTCACACAATACGATAATTAATCTGTAACACAATTTCTATGATATAATTACATTCTGTTCAGAGATTCTTTGGCGTACTAAATAATCGACAAATTGACATGACAACAATACCTGCCTCACTAATCGATGTCTAACTACTTTCTTATTTGTATATATTTCCACAATTTTGAAGTCATCAAGCTGTTTTTTAGTTATTAAATACTTAATTTATCCATGAGCATTTATTGAAAATCGTACACTTTTTTGCTCCCAATCATATATTACTTACAAGTAATATATAACTATATGTATATTGTAGCGCATCTAACGCATCCAATTTAATGTATACCTGACAAAATGTTTTATTCTGGAAAAAACTTCCCTTAAGTTAAAAGATTAAAAAATATTTTCATTTTCAAAAATATGTTCATTACATAGGCAGAAATTATGACTGAATTTATGTCTCAGCCATTCGCATTTAGTTTCACAAACTGTTTCTTATTTATGAATTAATGACAATGAAAAAGAAATATGAAAATTGAAAATAGACTAATATTTTGATTTTAGAACTGTAATTACAAAATAATACGTTTTCACATCAATGGCTGTTATGAAATCGAATTATCTTCTCTGATTATTAAAGGCACAATTCTGGAAAATCATTTGAGATACTCCCTGCAATATCATCATCGTTTCTTGATGCGAATGTCCGCTAAAAAATTACAATCACAATATCTTTACATTTAGACTCAATATTTATATGTAATATTATAGGTTAATTAGAAGAGCACGTTGGTGATCAGTATCAGAAATAATCAAGATTACTTTCTTCCTGTTTGATAAGTTCAATGATTTCACCTGTCAAAACACGCAAATGTTGTTCAGTAAATATTCTTGATTCAATACGTTACATCTTTGCGTTAGAACTCAATAAAATATATTTAGTAGCTTTAGGAAACGAATTGATAAAAACAATAAATTTAACGATCATTTCCTTGGCTTCTAGCCATAGTTCAATCTCACAATAACTGCTCTAAGAGAAGATTCAAGTACAACGACGATAAATTTGTCGTCCAATGAACAAATATGTATATAAAGAATCAAAATAAAGAATGGTTGGACGAAATTGGGTCCCCCTTGTTAATGAAAACATCACCAGAAAATGAAAGTGAAAGGTATAGAAACTTTCGACGAGTGGAAATCTCAAATCAATCAAAATATGCCTAAATGAACATTGTCAACCTATCACGTCGATTGTCTACACACTAGCAGCTGAGAGTTAATCCCCCCCAAAATATAGTGAATTGATTCCTCCTGTGACAGTCGTGATCTTCAAGAAACGATTTCTTCATTTTGAAGAAACATTTCGCGTAAAATGCGAAGAGACGAACATGAAATAATGATTCGGTGTGCATTCGACAGTCGTATGATGTGTTGACAGACTCTGGCAATCATGTCAATGCCTTTCACGGAGTTAGTTTCAACTGGACCTCAACAAAAATATTTCTTCTCGACACTTAATGCAAAACTTACATCATAACGTCGGCCCTTAACACTGATATAAAAGATATAACAATGACATAATTGGACACGACTTGTCTGAACATCAAGAATTAATGTCAAACGTTTCACATGTTATGTTCAAAGTGATTTTTTATTAGGAGCAAGATTACCAACGTTATCTGAGAAATTGGCATTTTGGAAAGAAAAGACTGAAAGAATTTTTAAACGTTTTAGCGTTTAAACGAAATGCTCTAGTTACATGCTCTTAGATACTGCAAGTATATAAGAGGTTCCATTTGGATTTTGATGGAAGCAATTCAATCTAAGCTTACTGTAAAGAGGATTTATTATGAAGTTAGAACTCTCTCCCCACCTCATATTCTATGAAACAAGATAGCGTCTACAAATACACGAACAAAAAACAAATAAATCAAATTCTCCGCGTAATCCAAAAGAGGAGGCTGGTTGGCGCTGCTGCAGAGGAGGCTGGGGCGCCGCCCACGCAACCTTTTCCCATTGGCCCGCCGCATCTCGGCCACGTGCGAGGCCGCGAGGACTCACCCTGGCAGCGAGGCGGTGCCGAGCGGGAAGAGGTAGGAGCCGAGGGCGGCGGCGGCGGTGACGGGCGGCGGCGGCGCGGGCGCGGCGGTCGTCTTGCAGCCGGCCATGAGCGAGTCGACGAGGAAGGCGCGGGAGCCCTCGCGCTTGACGCTGGTGGCGGCCATGGCGTTGGGCGTGGGCGCGTGGGCGGGCGCGGGCGCGGGCCGCGGGAGCATGGGGCACG